ATGACATAGTCCTGTTTGGTGAAGACGCTGAAAAAATTCAGAGTCTTTTGATAGCACTAAGCAACAATCCCAGAATGTTTGGAATGCGCTTCTCTCCCTCTAAATGCAAGTTGTTGCTTCAGGACTGGTCTGCGTTAACACCTGAACTTAGGATAAAGAGTGAAGTAGTCGAACGCAATAATAACACAAAGTAATTTTTCACCAGTCAATCAAAACTTAGTTGGTCTGGGTACGTCAAAAATGTGTGGAAATGTCTCATTAGTAATTAGCTAATAAGTAAAAAAAATACAGCCTGTTTATATTGGAAATTGGCATGATTTTCCCTTAATATACATTTTTTTAAATGCCGTAGACAAAACATCAAAAATAATACACATTTACATGACATGAAATACTCTAAGGAATTTACGTGAACCGACATGTCTTTGGAGTGTTTTCTAAACATCTGAACTGGGAATTGACTGATGATTTTCTAGAGGTGAAGCCGTGGCTTAGTGATAAAGGCGTTCGATTTCCAGCCGCTAAGTCCCAAGTTCAAATTCTGCTTTGCTTACTTCAGTTTGGGTGGCCTGTTAGTATCATTAGCCCTCGTATTTAGAGTGAAAATTTCAATAGAATTTATAAGGTTATACTAATTTTGTTTCGTATAAATAAAGTTTGGGAAGGAAAATTCCAGAACGTTTAGTTAGTGATCAGAATTCATGGAGTTAACAAACATTAGACGATTGTGTAATGAAGCAACTGAATGTAGATTGATGGTGATAAAGAACGATATGAATTGAAGGAAAATGACAATGATGTAATTAAACTTCAGAAAAAGTTGAAGTAATGAATGACATAATAAATAAAAAGGGGTTGACTGTTGCCAGCGTAAAGAATGACTTATTACTGCCTCTTTTTGGGTACATAGATCTGGTTTTAGACCTTTGATTGCTATCGCTTCGGCAAATTTCAAAAGGTTGGATTTTGATTTTTTGCTAATTACCTTGAAGGACTTTGAATCGGAAGCTGGCTCTCTTTTCTGTTCTACCAATGTAACTGCTTCGGCAGATACATTTAAATTTATATACGCAGTTGGTGGTAACATGAAGGGGATACCTATCGACCTTTGATTGTGTTAAAGAACATGTTATTTTGGACAGGACAATAAGTTTAGCTGAAGTTCTTGTCAATGCAGATTTTAGTCTCATATGTGTAGGAGTGATTTTTGTTCGAACTAGTGGGATTATTAGACGAGCCCTTAATCGTAATAGACACAAAATGTTCAGAAACGCTTTAATATTAGATTTAAAGTTTTGTCAGTTTCTACGAATATCTAGCCTTATTCAAAGGTAATCGGAGCTACAACGCGAACTTAGGGGGGAAAAGCCTGAGTAAATATTTTATAGGATTCATTCTGACATTTATGTAATTCAAAAACGAAGAATATTTGAGCGAACAATTGTTTTCAATAACTTCATCATCAGGCTCTACAGTTATAAGTCCATAATTATAATATTTTACAAAGGCCAAAAATAAGGCATGTTTTAATGAGTTTGACAATGTTATGTGTTAAAAAATGGTGAGCGTTTGCATCTGTTACGATATATATATATACTTCAAAAAATTGTAATATTTGCAAATTAGAAAGGTCATTCAATAAAGGTCAGTAAATTGTTCAGTCACAATAAAATAATATAATAGTACTATTGCAAAATTGAAAATAATTTTGTCAACTGAGATAATAATAATATTGTTGTGTGAATATAATACGTAATAAGGGGGGTGTTATCAAGGTAATTACGGTCAACAAATTGGGAATGATGGATATGAAGATTAAGATATAGATAATGACAAATAATGATAATAAGGAAAATAAATAAAATGAAGGAAGGAAGGGGTAAGAGGTTTATAATATTCAGTCTAGGTATTTGGTGATCCAGTCGTAGGCCAGGGTAAACATAGAGGCTGGATATATTTTTTCTGGATGCATAAATTAGGTCTTCTGGAGTTGATCCAGATGGCTTCGGCTGTGTAAAGTAGTCGTAATCTAGCTCCTTGAGGTAGATATTTTGGAACTTGATATAAAACAGAGAAAGCTTCCTCTATTTTAATATGATGTTCACTATCTACCAAGTGAGAAAGAATAGTGCTGTTAATCGATTTGGTGACTCCTTTTCCCAACCATGCTGGTACATGTTCACGAAACAGCAAGGATAAAGCCCTCTGAGTACGGCCTATGTAACTAGCTCCACAGGAGCAGTTGAATTGGTATACACACATGGAGGAGCCCATCTTCGGTAACTTATCCTTGATTAGTTGTGTGAGTACTGGCTTAGTCGAGAAAGTTATGTGTAACTTGGCGGCATGAAACGTCCTCTCGACAGATCTTTTGAGTCGACGTGTTAGAATATCACCCGCTATGTCGCCTTTAAAGTCAAGTTTCAGATATAAGGTCTTTTGACTGACCGTGTCGCAATGTCTTCTCTTTTTAATACTTTGTACGAGGTATTTTTTGACGAAATTATCCGGATAGCCATTATTACGTAATGTGTTCTTTAGTATAACTATTTCTTCCTCCACACTGTCTTCAGAACATAATACCTTGATTCTGTGGTTGAGACACTTAACCAAATTTATTTTATATTGCAGAGGTGTGAAGCTTTGGAAATGGGTATACTGACCCGTTCATGTACACTTTCTAAACATATTTCGCTTTATGGAACCATCTATCCTTCTAGAGAGTCGGACATCTAGAAAAGCTATGCTATTGTCCTTTTCCTCCTCGCTGGTGAATTTAATGGCTGGGTGGACATTACTGAAAGCGTCTAACATCTCCTGTTTGTCGATATTTTCGTCACATATGATTAATGTGTCATCTATGTATCGACAGTAATAATCAAGCTTATTTAAGATGTCTTTAAGCGGTCCATTTTCTAGTTTGGTCAATGTAATTCTTCTCGAATGAAAATTTGGTACGAAACAATAGCTGCAATAGCCAAATACAAAAGCATTTTCGTTGTTCAATTCCCTTCGTCGGCAAATCTCAAAACTACACGTATCAATCCAGACAAAGTTACTCTCAAAATAATATCTATTAACTCTAGTGAAATTCTGAATTCAATAGCACCCACCAGTAATCAGTGAAGTGTAGTACATATTATCAACGGAGGCCGGAAATTGCTTATTTATTTATTTGAACACATAAATATTGGTACAAGAATGCGCCACACAAAACAATGAGAATTTAAGGGGAAGGAAAAGAAAAAGAAGAGAGAAAGAATATTAACGAAGAGATTGATGTAAGAGAGTGTAGTAATAATCATAGTCATAATGGGAGAACGGAAAGGTACAGTCAGAAGAAATCTTTCAGTTAAGGAAGACACAACCACTTTTTATGAAGAAAGTAAAAGAAGGTTACAGCAGGATCGCCACTGGCTTCTATTCTGAGCCATAACTGATAACGTCTCTAGACACTGTGTAGCACCATCTCTCGGGCCCCAACCAGGGAGTCGTGAAGGACCAACACAAGCCAGCCCTTTGCAGATTTCATTCGTACCACGACACCATGTCATATAATGACCACCTCTCCGCTTTCTTCAACCAGTCCCAGAGTCGGCAAATAATGCACGACGTGGAATTCTCTGGGACGACAGTCGTAGAACATGTCCAAGCCGCCGAAGTCGGTGTTTCAAGATGGTGACACCAATTGCACATCGGTGATGACTGTGCCGAAAGTTAGTGCTAGCCAGAAACAAGTTGTGGTCTGTGCACAGTTGCAGTAGACGGTCCCCGTTATCTGTCCTGCAACCAACAAGTCCCCATCGGCCACCTAAACGACTCTCTTCTGTGCCTAGACGCCTGACCTGAGCATTGAATTCTCCGGCTAATACTACAATATCTGTCGGACGCACTTTCTGGAGAAGAACAGTTAACCGGTGGTAAACTTCATCCTTGATTGCATCCGGGCTGCAATCTGTCGGAGCATAGGCGGAGATGACGAAAAGACATCGTTTCTCACGCCGATTTCTTCTCACTTTGATGGAACTCTCTAATGCAACAGCACATAACCGACTGTTAATGGGGATCCAATCGATTAGTGCCGCCTCAGCTCTAGCACTTAGTGCGACACCGACGCCAGCAAGACCAGACGAAGATGCCACAGGGTCCCCGGATAAGCGCACGTAAAACAAGCTTTTCGAAGCGACAGATGGAGAGCAAATTTGTAGTACTTCATCAGAGTCTTGAATACGGGTCTCGGATAGACAACAAACATCAATATTAAGACTTTCCAAAGACATAGCCAGCCCTATCTGTTGTCCGACCTGCATAAATGTGTGAACGTTGAAGGCAGCCAGTTTGAATGGTGCATGTGGTTTCAGAAAAACTGCTTCAGTCCTCGTATTCGGTGGTAACATACAATTTTCAACCGGACAGTGACTCGAGAACGTTTAGATCGAGTCGAATTTCCACCAAAGGCGAGCTGCTGTATAAGTCGAAAAAATAAGTATAGACAGAGTAGGAATAAAAGAGGGTGAATAATGTCGTAGTAAATAATAACAATAATAGTAATGATAATAATTTGAATCATTTGATTGTTATTCGAAGCGAGAAAAGCAGTTTCCATAGATATAGAGAGTTCATCATAATTGTGTGTGGGCTGCGATACTGCCCGGGCGCCCATACCGAAGCACGTGGTTTTCTTAGGGGACCACACCCCGAGCTTTTGACCTAAAGGTCTAACCCACAAGGCAGTGGAGTATCGTGAGGAGATGCAGTCCGATGGTAGCCGGCGACAAAGAGATTGGTTCATACGCCATTTGTTCCCTCAGGATACTGGAGCCCATGTGCACCATTGGTTTGGGATCCGGTTAAAGCGCCGGACATTCACTTTTCGTCCTCTCATTTTCATAAACAACATCCCCGCCACGAGAAGGCAGTGAGTAAGACTTCCCTGGCAGAGGCTGTATAAGCGTGGCCGTGTGAGAGTATTTCGAGAGGGAGGGCGGACCCATCCCGCTTTCGGCCATACCAGGGCATTTGGGAGCAATTGCTTAGTTACATAAAGAATAAATTTTGGTGAGAATATATTCATCGTAGCATGTTTGCTAATTTATATTCAGAGGGTAACTGAAACCCCGATATCTATATCACGAATCACATTAAGAGATAAATCCTTTTAATTTAAATCAGAATGTTCAGATGTACTGCAACAAAACCAGAATTTAAAATTACACAATACCATACGTATTCTGTGCAATAAATAAACGAACTTAGGGCATAAATACCTTGTTTACAAAATGTAAGGTACATCAATCTTGTATTATCAAAACATTCCTCAATCATGGCAATGGATACATTCTATTTCCACTATACAAAATTAATATGGAAGTCCCCCTCATTATTCCGTTCCGTGGAATCGTGTACACAGATGATTTTCTCAATCTCAGTTCATAGGGAATCACCTAGAGAACGAATCGCCGATCATAAAGTATTAGACACCACAAACATTTCACCAACGAATGAGGTCAGTGATTGTTCTAGCCTTGCATTATCCTATCCGTATACACGGCTCTTACTTAAATATATCTATCATTTGAAAACTGTTTACCGCAATCTCATACCACAAAAAAGGGTTTTGAGGCTCACCCCAATTCTTTCCGATTTTCTTTGAAAGCTTTAATAGTTCGTTTTGCATATTCATTTGACAGACTAGTTAAGACAGCTAGAGCTTTTGTAAGCCAAATGTATGCTTATCACTAGTTTTTATAAAACGACTTAGCATTTCGACTACAACCCTTAACGTGACACGGGAAGAAACTACTCAGTCAAGTTTTCGTAAAAATGTTTACCTATGAAGCTATTGGAAACGCACTGGATTCATGAAATTCTATTGCTCATTAAACAAAAGGAACATGTGATCACTACCATTCGAAAATAACACATTGGAAATCCAAGCACAAGACACTCAAATTATCAGTATTAAATTCCGTACCATGAGACAGTTTTTAACGTAAGGTATTTGGATGTACAAAAAGACTAAGGGCAAAAGAAGTCTAATTATGACTCATCTGTCGAATCATATTACTGACAGACAACAGTGAAAAGTTCTAGCTTATTTAGAATTTAATTTTGGTTTTGAGTCTCCCGAGTGGCCTTCGAAATTGGGAGATTTTAGTAAATTCTCATCATGTGAACAGGAATCCCGAAATGCTGGGAACGCTTCCCAAGGAGAGTTGAACTCGAACCGCCTGAATTCCTGAGCCAATTCAACGGGTTCGATAACCACGCGATAGTATTGGTCGTCAAATCTCACCTGAAAAACAAGAGTTAATACCACATAGTCAAGTATCCACTTAGTTTAACCTAACTTATTTATAAGAAATGAAGTTGCCATTGTCAGCACTATCAATAAATAAGATTAAAAATAACATACTATTAAATATGTAACGAAGCTATCACCTTTGAAAAGTTAAAAGCCAGATGCATTCATCTGGACTGCTAGGTCGTTGATGACTAATGTCATAAGTGGAATAAACTAGTTAAAACATTCATCGACTATTAATTAGGAGAATGTGCATAGTGTGAGGTACTTATTTGTACAACTTGTAATGATGAAATATTCAGTGTATTGGGCTTCGAGTAAGTCTTAGTGAGAACGCTAGAATTACTACTTGGCTGTGAAAACCTATAATGATGGAGCAAGATGTTCGATTCGCGACCAGATTGTTAAAAGTTGAGTGATCGAATCACTGATACACAACTCTACAGATACTTATAAATGTTATGTGAGCTTGTAAAAATAAAATACACATTCAGTACTGCTAAAAAAATTTTTAAAAATCCAAAAATAGGTTGAGATCAGTGGATACAGTTGTAGGGTTTTAACACGGGCTGTTACAAAAATGTCTTGTCATAAACGACGTAAATTGTTTTAAAAAAATTCATAAATTCCGATAATCAAACGTGGATTTTCCCTAAATACTGACAGTTATGGACACTGAGTGAAAAATATACTAACCTACCTACACAGACCTCGGAAAATCCAGAGATCGTGATTAAAACCTTAGCTAAGAATTTTACTAAACCCAAAAGAATGGTTAAAATACATGAATTTATTGTGTCCTTCGAAACATGATGAAAAACTAGCCGTATCAGCACATATGCGTCTGGGCTTTAACCAGTAGGCCTCAGGTTCATACGCCACCTTACATATTTCAGTTTGGGCAACTGGGTAGTATAGCTAATCATTAAATAAATAAAGTGAGGTTAAAAAGCGAGCACATTAATCTGTACTTGATACATGGTTAAACCAAGATGTAACATGAAGTAAAATAGTTTTCTATGCCATTCTATTCGGCAAATGGTATTGATAAGTTTTTCTACAGTAACTGAGTGGTTTAGGTTACTGATGGCAGTGTCAAGGGGAAATACATTTATGTCATCAAGTTAACTGGACCAGCAAAGTTAATGCGTACTATGGACCATGGGTATTTCATGTGATTACAGGGTAAGGTACACTCATTCAGTAAGCTTTTGTGCTAGGTGAGGCTAGGAAAAGAACTTTGTGACCTAGTTCACGCAGGAGCATATGGAAAATTTCGGGCAACTGATTTTGTGTAGGGATTTTAAGATTATGAATGTAGAAATGAAGCACTCTGGATTATCAAACGGTTTCCGAATTGCATACAATGGTCTAAATAAAGATTCTAGTTCACGAAAAGCCACTAAGAGAAGTTTTGGTCGTCAACTCGTAACTAATTTTATTGTTTTTAGAATGATCAAACGATCAGGTATTTCTAGCCGGATAAATGTTAGTTACGGAGAGAGATAGCTAAGACATGACATGGTGCATCGCATAACCCCCTATAAGTAGAACTGAGATACTTGCTCCTCTCGATGTGAACTATTTAAGCCTAGATAAAGAGTTTGCTTGTTTGAAGTCTTATTTGTGGAGATGATGAGTTATAAAACACAACTTTCAAAAGAACTAGTGTCTAATTATGAAACCTGTCAGTTGTACGTGTCAGGATATCACATATGTAGTCAAACACAATAAACAAAAATATACATCTCTGGTCATACATGAATTAACCCAAATATCGGCCTGTGGAGAGTGATACTATCTCTTGTTTTTTTATTTAAAAGCAATTTTCACCTGAAGTTGATGCTCTTTTCACTCGTTAAGTTGACCAATTTATTTTGAACTGCATTTCTTATGTTTAGTTGATGTTGATGTATCTACTACCTTAATTCGCATCTTCTTAGTTTCTTTTCCTATGATAATGATGTGAAGTACAATAACTCAGACTAACACATAATTATGCGTCTTGTTCCTTCCATGTATGTATACATGTATACAATAAGACATACAATAAACGTTGAAACGATAATTTAGTGGCATTAAGACTAGCAATAAATGTAGAAGACAGAGTAATTAAAAGATTTCATCTTCATACCTCTGTATATCCACTTAGAGGAAAATCTCTCCGTTGAGGATGCCCTATAAAACCATAGTCAGTAAGGATCCGACGAAGATCCGGATGATCATAGAAAAACACACCGTACATGTCCCACACCTCCCGTTCATACCAATTTGATGCTTGAAAGATGGAACAAGACGAGTCGATCGGTGTAAGTTCGTCTGTGTAGGTCAAGACACGAATTCGAGAGTTATACCTCAAAGAAAGAAGATTATAAACAATCTACAATGATCAAACGAGAAAAACACAAACAATACCTGGAACCTATATTTTCTTGATGGTATATCAACAGCAGTAATATCCGAAAGGTTTAAGAATTGAGCACTGTGATGACATTTCAGGAATGAAAGAACTGGAATAACTCCATCAGGATGAATACAAATTTCAAGTTCTTTGGTATGACCTATTTGCACCTTTTGGACAAACTTAGGTAAACATTCACCAACGTAAACGCCGAATGATGATAGTCTCTTAATCTCTTGTTCATCAGCTGGAATTTGTTGTTTCATTTCATGTTCATTAGTACTACTCACGAATGACGAGTAACGGTAGACGGGAAACGTAAATACAGCTTTACTAATACCTAGAATCCAGTAAAAATTCTACCGAAGGCGCACTTACATTTCAGCAATTCTCTAGAAGGACGCATGAAATTTAGCATTTCGAGGACGTCAGTCAGCCTAAAATCTAAATAAAAACAGTAAAAACTGAAGTATTGATATTGACATAAAACTAGTTTTGGTGTTCCACACCTAGTAGTAATGCTAAAGATTTACTTGACAAATTATAAGACAGCAATTACACTATCACTAAACTTAAGCTTCTAGTCATAAAAGAAAACTGAATGGTGACGTGATAAATATTTAATCCACTGAACTAATCAATAGAAAATCAAGGCAAACAACTGAGAACAGCATAAAAGATGCGGGACAGATCCTATAAGGCTGTCTTTTTGCAGTACACCTGGAATCTACCACTGAAAGAGCTTGAGGTTTTAACTCGTTTTTTTAGCAAATCCGGAGGCAGCAAGGATGAAAGAATGGATTATTACACCGACATTAAGACTGGAGATATGAAGTTAAAAGTCGTTGTATCACAACTAATATCCATTTGTGGTTGAAGCCCTATTTGGAACTGCACTCCAACACCAAACCTTATAAATCTAAAGTACATCCCCTTTCATAATTGCCCTACTTTTGTTTATGCGACCTTGAAGGGTTAAAGTGACAGTCGTCAGGAGTAAGCATAGTAGGTTGGTGAACCTGTGGTAATCCTGACAGATTGCCTTACAATGAAGGTTCGGCGTTTCTTTGAAAATACTCTTTGATGGGGCTAATACCACTTCTTTGGGTAGGGCGTTCCAGTCATTGACTACTCGATGAGAAAAACGGGACCCAACTTTAAGTTTATTAAATCGCGGTTTGTGAACCTTCTTGTTATGACCTCGGAGATAATTAGTGCTGGAGGGAGCGAAAAGATAAGACATATAAACACCCAATGAGAACGCGCGCTATTTAAAAAGGGCAGTGGTATTTTCCCTCGCTGAGTAAATTTCATTGTTTTGATCGTTTATTACGTATCAAGACTACTGTTTTCACTTTAATTGAATTCATTTCAGTTAAAGTATTCCACTAGAGTACCGTTTTTACCGTTCTCTCAATTAGTTTTGTCGTTGGTACTCTTGAGTACGTCATTTTCAATTGTATCTGTTAGTACTTTTGGTCCTAACAATCTACAGTTCTTCGCTTTTTGGTCATTGATTATTTTTTGTTTCTGAGTATCATCGCATCTCGTTCCTTTTTTAAAAGGACTCCTTTTAAAATGACCGGACAGTGTAGAAAAACAGTCGCCATCGTCCGGGTTGTCGTTATCGCGTTGAAAGCGGCATGCAGTGCGACGAGTGTAAAGGCTGGTACCACGAAGTTTGCACGAACTTAACGACTGCGGCTTTCAAACGGTTCAGTAAGAAGGGTTGCGTATGGCTTTGTCAAAAGTGCCTTTCGGATGCAAACAGCCTGTTAACCGAGGCCATCTCACTGGTTGATGCTGCGAAGAAGTGTTTTAGCAAGCGTAGTCGGAACACGTCAAACAGCACTCGATCTGTCGACACACAAATCGGCATGAAGCAAACTAAGGTTAGTTCGATAGTAGATGACTCACGCCGGTCAAAGAAGGAAAAGCAGTCTCCAAAGGGGCCTGCCTTAAACAAAAGCTCAAGGAAAGTAGGTTCTTCTGTTCCCCGTCTCCCAGATGGGATCCCACAGGAAACGCCTAGAAGCCGCAATCGCAAGGCTCGGTCTATTTCAAGCGGTAAACATAACTGGCCTCTCAGGTCGTCGACAACCCCCAGAATCCAACACTAGGTTTGACGCAACTGTTGTTGCTTCTACCAGCACCGTTGACGAATGGGTAAAGGTTGTAAGGAAGAAAAGTATTGATATAAAAGGGAAACCTGCCCCCGTAAAAGTGGTTGAAAAATCGAAAGCTGATCATAGCGACAGATCAGCTATTTTTCATAGAATTAAGGAGAGCGATAGCTCTGAACCTAAAGCTCGTTTTGAGCATGACATTGTACTGATTAGGCAGCTGCTTAATCAACTCATGCCTCAAAATATGACTGGGGTCACCTTGCTAAAGGTGTATAGACTAGGGAGTCTAACGGACTCGAAACCAAATCATTCCAGACTGCTTAAAGTAGTATTCGGCTCTTCAAACGAACGTGACCTAATTTTACAAAATGGACACAAATTAAAGGGTTCAGGAGTCTTTATCCGAAAGGACCTACCGTTGGCAGACCGTGTTAAAAGACGGGAAGCCGAGAAAGAACTACAACATAGGTTAGACGCTGGCGAAAAGGACCTGAAAATTGTAAATTTTCGGGTTGTAAGACTTCGACAGAGAATGATGCCGAAGCCACTCTGGGTGAAGCACGAAGGCACTTAAACAGGCTTCGGATCTGTTACACCAATGCACGAAGCTTACTTAATAAGCGATCGGAACTAGGTGTACAGATTGACTCTATAAAGCCAGATATAATCGCAGTAACAGAAACCTGGCTGACACAGGCTATAGATAGTATAGAACTTGATTTCGAGGGCTTTACGTTAGTAAGGGCCGACAGAACACAAAAGCGCAAAGGAGGGGGAGTAGCTCTATTCATTAGGAATGCTATCCCATTTACCATTATCGATAGTGTATCCCATGAGAGTGGGACGTGTGAATTAGTTAGTCTTCGCTTAAAATGCAAGGGACAAGAGCTGCTGATTGGTTTGGTCTATCGCAGTCCAAGCTGTGAGGCAAATGAGATCCTGTTAAGCAGTCTCAATACTTGGTCCCAAAGTGGTCGATGTCTAATCCTAGGGGACTTTAATGCACCTATGGTAGACTGGGAAAATCTGCGAACTGAATCGTCAGAAAATTCCTTCGAGCAGGAACTAGTTGATGCGGTTATCACATGTGCCCTAGTGCAACATGTGAAAGAAGCGACTAGGTACGACCCGGACACTGAATCATCCTTATTAGATCTTATACTGACTCACTATGAGGATGATGTTGCGAACCTCCATCATATGCCACCCTTAGGTAAAAGTGACCACGCAGTTTTAACTTTCGACTTCCATATAACTGCCAGTCATGAGGACGCGTCAGTCCAGTCCAGACCCAACGTCTGGAAAGCAAACATACCAGACATCATGCACTCAGCATCGTTAATAGATTGGACAATAGACCCAGAGTCCTCCATTGAAACGGCCTGGGACGCATTTCGAAATTCATACTTAAAAGTTACCACACCTCACATCCCTTGGACTATACCAAAGGGGCCGAAAAACTCACCACCATGGTTCAGTAGGGAGGTCCGTATCCTTCTCCGTAAGAAAAGGAAAACGTGGGATAGATTTAGGTTACTGGGAACTGATGAGTCAAAATCTCAGTATCGAAAGGCTCGGAACACTTGTGCCTCGACCCTCCGTAAGTCTAGAAAATTGTACGAAGAAAAACTTGTTAAGGAATCCATAGAATGTCCTAAACGCTTGTATTCCTATATAAACCAAAGGACAAAGAGAAGAGGAAATATTCCTGCTCTATGGGGAGACAGTACTGCTTCATCATTAGTGGAGGACGACTTTGGTAAGGCTCAAGTTTTCTCGAACTACTTTAGCAATGTATACCATAGAAGCACTCTTCTCGTCAGCGTATACAGATCCCCCCACACATACACTGGATAGCGTGACCATTAAAGAACTCGATGTCTTTGGTCTGCTAAATAAGCTTGACATAGGTAAATCCACGGGGCCCGATGAATTACATCCTAGGCTACTGAAGGAATTATCTAACTTCGTTGCGAACCCTTTAAGTACATGCTTTAACCTATCCGTTACGCAGGGTCGCTTACCGAAAGATTGGAAAAACGCCATAGTAAGTCCTGTCTTCAAAACAGGTACGAAACACAAACCTGAGAACTACCGCCCCGTTAGCCTAACTAGTGTGGTTGTTAAAATCTTAGAAAAGATTATTCGGAAGGAGCTGTTTAAGTATCTCGATAAAAACCGGATCCTCTCGGAGAAGCAGCCCGGCTTCAGAATAGGTTATTCTTGTCTCACTAACTTATTAGTGGCTCGTGAAAGCTGGTGTGCTCTTAAGGACCAAAAGCTACCTGTAGACGTCGCCTTCATTGATTTCAGTAAAGCTTTTGATAAAGTTCCGCACAACCGGCTGTTATATAAGTTAAGAAAGTCGGGATTGGAGGCAATTTATTGATGTGGATAAAAGACTTCTTAGTTGGGCGTCAACAAAGAGTAAGGGTGAACTCAAAGTTATCTAGCTGGGAAACTGTGCTTAGTGGAGTGCCCCAGGGTACAGTTTTGGGGCCAGTGCTATTCCTCTTGTATGTAAATGACCTTCCTTGTCTCCTATCATCATCGGTCTTGCTATATGCTGACGATGTCAAGATATGGAGAACGATACGATGTAAGAGTGATAGCTTAGAACTTCAAAATGACCTGAAGAAGTTATCTGAATGGTCTCAAACATGGCAGTTGCCGATAAATACTTCCAAGTGTGTTGTGATGCATATCGGTCATCAAGGTACAGATACATACACGATGAATAACACTGAGCTACCTGTCGTCCAGACATATAATGACTTAGGAGTTATCGTTAGTCAAGACTTAAAGACTACTGCACACTGCCGTGCAATAGCCGCCAAAAGTTTTAGAACGTTATGGTCAATACGTAGGGCTTTTAGTCATGTCGACGCTAAGACGTTTTTGACTTTGTATACAGTGTTCGTACGTCCTAAACTTGAGTACTGCATACAAGCGGCTAGCCCCTGCTTAAAAAAGACAGTGAGCTTCTGGAAAAGGTTCAGAGAACGGCGACTAAGCTGATTCCTGGAATAGCGAAGCTTCCGTATGAAGCTCGACTGGCCAAGCTGAACCTTTTCCCGTTGTCATATCGCAGAACTAGAGGCGACTTGATTACAGTTTTCAAATTGCTTAGTGCCAAATTTGCACCTGATATGCCCTCATTTTTCTTGTCTTCCAAAACAAAGAATTTACGAGGACACTCCAAAAAAGCTCACAAGCCAAGAACAAGCTACTTATCAGCTGACCATCGACTTTCCCATCGAATCATCAACGAGTGGAACTCATTACCTCAGCACGTGGTTGAGGCTCCATCCGTCGATTCTTTCAAAAGAAAGTTGGATCAACTGAGGGACCACCATTGCCAAGACTAACAGAGGACATCAGGCCCACTGTCCTTCCCAAACTGAAACTGAAACTGAAATCATGATCAAAGATACGAAATGCCAGCATAAGGTCACTTCAAGTCCAGCTGTGTAAATTGGTCTGACAAGCTTATTATGTAAATAGTTTTTAATATTATTTGTATTTATTTTGCTAATCGTTAACTGTCTGTATATTTGTCATTAAATGGTTGTACCTGTTGTTTCAGTCAATGACCTTGAACGCATTTTCCATTGTGATACTGACATAGCGTGATACACTTGTGGTTGTTCGCAAATACACTACCACACACACACACACTCCTTGTTCTATTCTCACGCGTTATCGGGCCAATTGCATTCTAAATCGAATATTAACCACATTTTAGACTGTTGTGCTATCTGTAATACATCCTACGTCAAGGAAACTTACTGGAGTCACATTTACCTAATCGGAGTTATTACTCATTTATAATTGTCG